GTTTGCAAAACTGTAAACAACAGCTACAAATATAAAACTGTAATATTAGGGCAACAATTATTTATATATGTCAGAGCAGTTTGCACCCCCCCAAAACATGGTTGTTTTCTAAAGCTTCTGGTCAGACGGGTTTTTGAGAAAACCCTGGTTCCCTGGCTTGAGAAATAGATTATGTTGTAGGCTGTCGTTGTAGAGCCTGGCAACTGAATGCTTAGATTCACATGATCATAGTTACAGCTTCTCCCTTCAGGACAGGCGGTAGGATGTTATATTTCTGAGTCCTAATATGCCTGTGTGATCTCTGATCAGGTGGGTGCTGTGTGTCAACCACATGGAGCCAGTGAAAGGTTTCCTTGGCCGCTACCTGAGAAGGAAGCTGATCGAGATGGAAATCAGCAGCCGAACACGCAATGTAGAGCTGGTGAAGATTATTGACTGGGTCCCACGGGTCTGGCACCACCTCAACCGCTTCCTGGAGACACACAGCTCCTCTGATGTCACTATTGGTGAGAGCACGGGAGAGAACAGGGAGTGCATAGATGCCAGTGTGGAAGCACTATTTATACCTCTGCTCTGTGGTTTGCAGGACCCCGTCTCTTCTTGTCATGTCCCATGGACGTGGAAGGCTCCAGGGTTTGGTTTACTGATCTCTGGAATTACTCCATCATCCCCTACATGCTGGAGGCAGTGCGTGAGGGACTGCAGGTTGGGCTTAGTTTTTGTTTGTAGAGTTATTAAACATATTACCATTCTTCTCTTTCACATTTTTCCCATTTCATCAAAGAATCAGAAGCTGTGTCTTCTTTCATTTCTGTTCACATATGTTCCAGCTTTCACTCTTGTCTGCTGTAACTTTTAGTTATTACTCATAAACCTGAACCTCAGCAACAAACTTGTTTTTCAAAACTGTTGTCCTAAATTCTTTGTCCACCTCGAAGCTTCTCTGGGTCACAGTTCTGATGTTCGTCTCTCTCTGTAGCTGTATGGCCGCAGAGCTGCATGGGAAGACCCAGCTGCCTGGGTTATTGACACCTACCCGTGGTCAGCAACCCCCCCTCCAGGTGACTGGCCCCCGCTGCTGCAGCTCCGGCCAGAGGATGTCGGGTTCGATGGCTACTCAGCCCCGAGAGAAGGAGTCAGAAAAGAGCCGCCACAGAGTGACAGTGACGCAGACCCACTGGTGAGTAAAGAGCAGACTGTGATGCCTGTTTCTGTTCTGAGCATTTAAACCATTTAAACCAAATGCACAGTGTCTACTATAACCTGTGTGTGAAAGAAACTGCTTCGTGCATAAAGCTCAGTCGAACTGACACTTAGTTGTGCCGACAGATGAACATGTTGATGCGTCTGAAGGAGGCAGCGACCTCGTCGAGCCCACAGAGCTACGACAGCGACTCCAACAGCAACAGCCACCAGGATGACATCCTGGACTCATCGCTGGAGTCGACCTTGTGATGCTATCTGAAGGCAACACCAGCATCACTTTAAAAAAAAAAATTTTTCTTTTAAATAATAAGAACTGTTCTCAGTGTGAGAACTTCCGTTTGAGGGTTGAATTTCATGCTACAAAATCCAGCCACCTTAATTTGGGTGCAGGTAACCCAAATACTTTAAAAAAGGAAAGAAAAAAAAGTGAAATTGCATTTCAGTAAACGGGCAACAGAAGTTTCTACTGCACTGCGCTGTTTGTCCTGTTTTTTGTGTTTTTTTTCCCTTCACCACTGTGGCCCGTGGCTCCTCTCTCTGGAGCCTGACATGTATTCCAGACAGACAGAAGAAAAGCACGCAGCCTGTTGCTGTTGGCGAGGCTTCATCATTACCATCATCACCAGCCATCAGTGTACTTAAAACACCAGCCAGGAGTCCTCCATCCTCCACAAGGCTGCAGCATCGGTCCAAGGACACCAGGCTAAGACACTACGGGTCCTGCCAAGCTGTAGTGTGCCAGAGCTGCCTGCAGATGGTGATACAGGCCCTCAGCTCTGGAGCGTGAGTGAACCCTGTACTTCAGCCTTCTGAAAACATATATGCTGCTGTGGGTTGAATGGATGGAGGAACAGCCAGCCACTTTCTTGCTCCTCCTCCTCTTCCATTGCTGAAGTTGCCTGTGTGATCACTGGAGGATGAATCGAGCCAAAGTGAATGTTCAGTCTCATAGCATGCCTGATCTCACTCCAACAGACTTCTCAGAGAGTTCATTAGTTGTCCATCCCAAACTAGCAAAGACAAAAAAAAGAGTCCATCGAAGGACACGTGTCCATTAAAACCAACTAAGCGATGAGTTCCTACCTGCCATAGCCGAGCGTGTTTGTGGACATGAAGGATGGGAACTGATGGCTTTCTATATGGTACCAGAGAAGTAAGCAAATACTGTAGCAAAGCTTTGTCTACACCGTGTTTTAAGAAAGAACCTTATGAAGGCAAGCTTAGTTAGTTGAATCAAAAGTTCTTATCACAAAACCTACTTACACTTTGTTTTGGTATTTTATTATATTGCACTTTCTCTTTAAGGTCCACAGAGGTTATAATATGGCATTATAGCTGAGAAATTATTATTCCAGTAAATCTAGAAGGATAACATGTAGGTTTTACTGGCTAAAGAGACAAATATAAACACTTACTTCCTGAGAAAAGCTTTTTGTTTCTTTTTTTTAATCCACAGCATCTGTAAAGTAACTTTTAAAAAACTGCACAGATGAAAATCTCTTTTACAGAATCCCTTTAAAGTTCTCACAAAAAGATTTTTAAATGGAAAGGGCACTTAATGGGAAGTTATCATCCACCACAGCTAGATTTGTCCTTTTTGAGGCATTCTTCTCCTCTAGCTGTGTTACAACTTCACCGTGCAAGTCTGTGAGCTCATGCTTCAACCCCCTTAGTAAACATTTGAGATCTCCATGCACATTAGCCCCAAGCAGGCGGTTGTAGCACAGAACCCTTTTGGTGCTGGACTGAATTCTAACAAACAATGCCTTACTATTTTCTACGTGCATTAGCGGATTCATTATTCCTCTAAATGGCTGTAAACTTGACAGGGCTCTGAGTCGACTCTCACCTCGAGCGACTGCGGTTGTCGAGGAGTGATGCTGACCTCTCATCATATTATTCACCAATGCCGCATGATTGAATACACATGAAAGAGAAGTAGTGCTTTTGTATGCATGTGTGAACTGAGAAGATGGTGTAAATATTTGGACCACTATCAAGAAAAAGATTCGGATGTGTTGTGGTGCTCAATACCCGAACTTAACTTATTGATGGTTGATCGGGTGAGGGGAACTTTAAGAAAAAGTCTTTAATTTTTTTTTATACCTCATCCACATCGTTGAACTGTGCTTCTGCCACACTTATTGTCTGTTTTTATGTGATTTGTGATGAACAAAACTGTCATAACTACATATTGAGCTAATTATGGAAAACTAGTGCATATGCTGCTTTGTTTATATTAATATAATTAATCAGAGGTGAGATAAAAGTACTTGTGGTTGAATGATAATGAAAAGTGGTTTGCCATTATTTCAGTAGCTTAAAGAATTACGAATATCATACTTTTGTTTTAAGCCTCCCAGCCTGCCTTCTGGGAGGGGTGCTTAAAGCTGGGGTCATGGAGTCCAGCGCGACTTTCCATGTTTTTCTCACCTATCCTATGCAACATTCATTCTGATCTCCAAATGGAAGCCAAAAGCCGCATGCGTGTTTGTTTTCAGCACTGCCTCGAGATGTACAGCTTGGAACCAGATATGTGAAGACTTTACAGATTTGTGGCCAACGTTCTTTGTCCATTAAGTGTGTCTGTGTATTTCATAAGGCCTCTCCTGCTACTGTCCTCGTAAGCACAAAGAGACTTAATTCTGTTTGCGTGTGTAAACCCACTCTGAGAGGTGTGGATGTCTATCAAGCATTTGACTCGTCTGTTGATTTATTACTCACAAACTCAATGAATGTTTAGCCTTCTTAGCAATGTACTTTTTTTTTTTTACATGTAACATAATTTTGTAAATAGTTTATTATTGTGCAGCATTTTGATGACCTTTTTCTAGACAATTTGTTACAGTACTTGAAAAGGAGTATTTTGTGTACAGTCTCTTTACATCAGAGCAGATTGGTGCAGTTTCTCATCACTGGTTTGTCCAGGGCTCAGAGAATTAAATTTGATATCACTGTACTAGTCTTAAGTTATTGTGTTTCAATAAAATTAATAATTATTTATGATTGAATGGTCAAACTGTTATCTTAAAACTGCACACACATGTGACTTGGAATTGTTTAGTTTTATTTGATTTTTGTACAAAAGGTGAAATAAACATATATACAGCACATAATACAACATAGTTATTAAACAAATTGGTATAAATTAACAAAATAGCTACATTTTTCAATAAACAACTCTATTCATGTCAATGTAAAGTAACGCAATATTCTTGGCATAAAACTTCCATACGAACTTGTACAAAATACTGTACAATTCAACAAAGCTGTGCAAAACAACAAACTGTGTCTCAGTAGCAGATCCTGTCCAGTGCGCATGCACTGATGAAGCCACAAACATGGGTGCAACTTGTTTGAACGGCGACGTTGATGGTTTGTCACAGCGGCAGTTTCCTTCTAATCTGGTCACAGTCTCATAAAAACAGATCATGGGTTATAACTCTATACTCGCTTTTCAAAATAAATTAAGATACTGTTATCTCCTCTTCATCTGACTCCGAGAAATCCGAGTGCTTACTGGAGAGGGAGGGAGAGGAGATGGTGGAACCTGCCGCCCTCATTCTCTCTGTTCCGAACTCCTTTTCTTCCTCCTCTTCCTCTTCGGCTGAGGACTTCTTGCCCACATCGCTGAGGTCCGGGTGCGGGTTGGCTTTGGTGGGCAGCGTCTGCTCGCGGCATCCACCGGAAGACAGCAGCTCTCGTTCCTTGGAATTTCTCCATTTCATCCGTCGGTTCTGAAACCAAATTTTTACCTGCAAGAAGGAGAAAATCATGAGTGGGTAAAGTTGTTTGTCGATAATGGGTTAGTCGCTAGAGGATTACGGAACTGGTTTTTACGCACGGCGTACTGAACATTTTGAGCACTTGCGAGTTTTACCTGCGAGTCTTTTAGGCCAAGTTTAGATGCCAGCTTCTTCCTGTCGGGCTTGCTGATGTATTTCTGTTTCTGAAACATTTTCTCCAAGGCTTTGCGCTGCACGTCGGAGAACACCGCCCTCCTCAGCATCCCTCTCCGGGGTTTTCCTCTGGCTGCCAAGGGCCACGAAAAAGTCCCCGGGATTGGAACAACGGATGAAGATGCTACAGTGCAGGAAAAACAAAACAGAAAATTAAGTGGAAGCAATTAGCATCGTTTTCCGTCATTAAAGACAACCACCATGCCACAAATGTACCGAATTGCTGTACTTAAAACTGCCTGGACATGAGACCATGACATGGCCGCATGAATATAACGATTCTGCGTTAGGACCAGCTTTCAATGGATTATTATTTGAAGTTTCCCTTTTGGAACTGTGCAGTGCTTATGCGTCCTGAGTGAAATGGCACGAGGTGACTAATTAGCACATTGGCCGGTCCCCAACCGCATTGGTATGGTAAAGAGGTAGCATATCCTTTAAGGAACCCTGTGAGGGCGGATAGAGGAGTTAATAAACCGTGAACGGTAATTGTGTAGTAATGAACTAACGGTGAAAAGACTCTGGACAGGCGGCGAAGGCCATATATTATCGCAACAAAAGGAGATTTACACTTTCAAACTAAACACAACTGCATACCAGAATACTGATGCTTGGATGGGGGAGTGAAGAGTGGAGGGGAATGGTGCTTTTTTTCGTGCCCTCAAATCATTTTCATTAAATGAACACGAAAAGCTATTCAGGACGCTGGAGTTGTTTTGTTGAGGCATTCAGCTGAGCCCATGAAAAGACTCCATCTCTATTATGATTTGTCTGAATGAAAGACTAGCGACTTTATAGACTTTTCTAAGAGATTATTCTTTATCTCAAGTCGATGATTGGCCCGCTCGGAGAAAAGAGAAACGTTTAAGGCACAGACAGAGTGGGGATTTGAGGTCAGCGGTAACCTATCCTATGAGTCGCCCAGCATGCAGAAAACTTTCCCCCGACTGCTCCAATTGGAGCACAACTGGGATTTTTTTTTTTTTTTTTTTTTTTTTTTTTTAACGTTGGCGTTATTTGAAAATCCCCTCTCCCGGCGAAGGACGGTGTTCCTGTCCGCACACTACTGCCTGGACTCCCCCTGACTGCAGCTGCCCCGCGCTCGCAGTAGCACCAAGAACAACGACGCGCTATGTGGTCTTGTGAGAATATTGAAAACTCTCAATAGCGCCTAATAGGGAAATTAGTGCATGACTGGTTCACGCCTTTGGTCCGACTGGTAAAAGTCACTCTCCGGGGTGTGTGGGTGGTTCACCCGGTGGGAGCTGACCAAATTGGTCACGGTGGTGAGGGCTTTGTTGCCCGCCACAGTGGCCCGCTGGCCCCCCGGACGCTGTGGGAAAACGCGGTGCCGGGGAAATGCCAAAACGCCCCCCAATGGGAAGCAAGGGGGACTATAACTCGCCACCCCGCCTCAAATTTAGAGCGTGACGATTTGGGATAATTGGTTAATTAGGGGGTGGGTGTGTGGGTCCACGCAGAGGCCAGAGCCAGCGGTCCCCATTAATGAGACAGTGATTTCTTCTTTTCTGGCTGTTTGTTTCCCTTACTGCTTCTGTTTTGGTTAAAATATATGACAGGAGGGGGTGAAAGTGTTTTACATTTAAATGCAATTAGTACAGACACGACTCTAAAGGCCAAAGAGAGTCGTAGATAAGGAAGAAGCGAGTAAAAAAACCAAATGTTGCGCCTACCTGGTAAATAAGGCGCCCTGAATATGGGGTGAAAGGTTGCGTCAAAGCAGGGGACGGGGAAGGTCTTGGTGTTCAGACTGTGGACTGCAGGGGGTAAGGACGCTGTTGAAGAGCAGATCATGTTAAAATCATTCCTTCATTTAGAAAAGAAAAAAGTGGCTCTAAATCAAACGCATGCGCGTAAGGAGAAAGCAGAGCGATGCTGTAGTGTCTACTCACCAGTCTTTGGTGAGGGTGCGAGGATGGCGTTCACTCCAAACTTGAGAAAACTCGGATCCTTGCTGTTCGGCACCGATGTTTTAGGTGAGCACGATTCGCGCGTCCCCGTACCCACCGCTACCGTGCGCTCCAGCGCGCCGCCGGTGGACACGGTGGTGGTGGCTGTTGTCACGGAGGCGCTCGCTGACGGGACAGTCCGGTTTATAAAGGCGGCGGGACGGCTTATCCGCAGCAGATCCTCCACCAAGAAGCTGGAGTGGGTCTGGAAGGCCGACGGCAGGGTCTGGTGGAGCGGGAGAGCCGCGGCGGGCCGGTACAGCCCGGGGTAGAAGGCAGGAGGCGCAATAACGCTTGGGATCATCATGGTCCCGGCTTTAAGAAAAATTCAAATACTCCTTGTGTCAGCTGGGAGAGAATCAGTCTTGTGAACGGTTGCTAACTCCTCTGGTTTCCTCACTCTGGGGAGAGAAGTTTTATAGTAGCCTGCCCCCCCTCGGCCCTCCACTCAGGGCTGACAGCCTCAACAATGGTGCTCAACAAAGTTCTCCACATGGGTCGCTTTCATGCAGCATCTCCCGGGCCGCTGATTGGCCGGAGGACGCAATTTATGATTGTATTAGACTTCATAAGCAAGTATCACACAATGTGGGGACCACAAAGGAGGCTCAGTCATCAATTTTGCATGTTGGCTACTTTCCTTTCAGTTTGTTTTGTTTGGCAGAGCCAAGCGCCCTAATTAAAGAGCAATCTTTGTATTCAGGTATTATATTGGGAGATTTAATGACTGCTTAAAAAGATATCATTCCCTTTTAGCTTTAACGCTCCCCTTCTTTAAGTAGAAGGGGAGCGTTAAAAAAAAGCTTAGTTATTATTTTAATCTATTGTCAGTTATGCAAAAAATAAAAATCTTGGGGTGGATTTCTTTTAAAAGAAATCAGGTGAGATTTCTATTTGGCTGTCATTATTAGAATAAACTGCAGTCTGTTTTTGTTGTTAAACCTACACCTTCTACATCAGTTGCAGACATGGGCTGCATCTCAGATGTAAATCACTTTTAGGGTTTCATAGGATTCTCAACACTCAATCTGGCCCTCGTCATGGAATAATGTCTTAAACGGATTTCTGCTATCAAAACGCTTTAACAGATGTGTTAAATATCACTCTTTTTTGCACAGGCTTCATTCATTGCGCACTGAGCTGCGGCTGTGCGCAGAGTAGAAGTGTGCGGCCTGAGCCGTGCGCTCATGATCCTGTTAACCATGAACTAACTGTCACCCTCAGCTGCGGAGGAGGCGCCCCTCGGCCTTTCTCCCCTTCCTTCTCTCGCCTTCAGAAAAAGCCCAGTGGAATAAAAAAAAAAGAAAGAAAAAAAGCCTTATTTCTAAAGACGGTTTTGTTCTGCTATTTTAACTGGCTGAATAAAAGTGCATCTGTGATTTGATTTAAAACGCATTCATATGAGCGGACACTGAAACCCCATATAAAACTCTTATTAAAGCGACTTGGAGCCTGATAGTCGTGTTCTGTCAGCCTTCCCCCCCAGAAAACCCGTTAAAGCAGCGCAATCAGGCGAAAATGCGTTTCAGACTCAAAGAGGGAGGGGGGGGGAGATCCCAATTGTTGCCAGTATTAAACCCAATTAAAAAACAAACAAACAATTAAAATAAAACCAATCTGGAGGAAATATGTGGCTTTAAAATGTAAACAAAAGCTACAACTTGATTTTATTAAAATATGTAATTTAGCCCCAGATGTTTTTTTCGTTTATATCTTTTCTTTGAGCTCAAGAGTACAACGCTCGGCGCATTTTAGGCCTTAATTACGTTTCTTTACCAAAAATTAATTTCGATCACACTGATTATTTTCATTTACAGATATGAAACTCATTGTGTGCAATTTTTCAGTCTCCTTAAAAAAAAAACAAAAAAAAACCAACTAAAAAATAGAGTAGTTACACTCTTTAGACCATATTTTAGTTTGTTTTTGTTTTTGAAGAAAATAGGTTCACTGTTAAGTGGAAGAGCGAGTTAAAATCTGACATAATTAAAAATCAGCCTTCCTTCCCTTCTCTGAGTTGCAAATTTTGTATGAAGCTAAGCTTCATTTGGGATCAGCTCAGATCATGATTAGCACTTCTACGTCAGTCTAATATAAAGTGGCCACAATTCCGATAATTAAAAGGGAACGCCTCCGTGAAATGATCCTTTAAAGAGAGTCAGCGCTTGTAAGAGGTGCGTCTGCGTTATTCACGAGCGCAGGACGCACAAACAGGCGTTAACACAGCGCTCCGTCCCGGCAGCTACACCTCCGCTAAGTAACGAGACCTTCAAAGCTTTTTTATGAGCCTATATTCCTTTACTTGGCCGCCCGAAATCCTTCTTTTGTGAGCGGTAAGCAGATGGTTAGCAGGAAGCATAGGCTTCTCTGGCTGACCGAGACTAATTTCTACGAGCTTTGCAAGCTTGCCACGTCCCCGCTCCTTTACCAGGCCGAGTAAAAACAGCTGGCTGCGGCTGAATTAAAAGCCATTAATAGCGCATCTCTCAAACATTAACACTAACGACCCTCCCTCCCTCCCTCCCTCTGTCAGAGCACGATGCAGTCCATCACTTTTATACAATCATCCCGCAGGGATTCAGATACAAGTTAAAGTTTAGGCGGCACCACGTGATACTCTGTAGTACAAGCCCAGAAGTGTTTTATAAATCACTGCGAAAGTGTGGATCCGCGGTGGTGTTTACCGTTTAGTTTTTAATGCGTCAGTTTGACATAGCAATATTATTCATATTGCCAGTATTATTTATAGTACTCAGAATATCCTGATAGCCTTTGATAGGCCTGTCTGTATAGGGATTACCATTACAGAGTGGCAGCTGCAGGAGATGCAATTCATTTACACTCCCAGCTATACTGATTACATTAAACACTTTTCCTAAGAGTGTTATAGTTTTTTTTCCCGGCTGGGCCATGCCAGTTTACCAAATAGATGAACTTAACCATTATCTTGGCTCTCTTTCTGCTTCGTTAAGTGAAAGGGGCTGAGTAAATATGTTACCCATGCATGAGAGGCTCTCTATGGGCCGTCCTATTGTGCTGCGGGTCCGACAGGTGGTTGACTGTTTATTATTCCCTCATTATTTATCAGTGACGTGGGCGCATCGAGGAAAGGGAACTCCCCGTCTTTTCACTTAACCGGGACGAACAGATTGTGCTGACTGGTTGCTGCCTGGTTTATGACACCGGCCACCAGTCCATCCATCTCCACCCTGCAGCCGTTTAGCCGGCATCCACCTCCATCAGGGTCTGTTGACTCCGTTAAACGCTTTCTCTGAGTTAACACATCCATCCCGACAACTTCTGTTGTGCCGATTTCAGTGTGGTTTTAGCAACACTGTTTAGCTTTGAATCATTACAACAAAACTGATAAATAAATAAAAATCTGCACGTCGAAAGTTTAACAATTTGTAGCTCTACATACTGCAAAATTCAAATTTACGAGAAAAATGACGCAGTTTGTTTCATTATGTTAAAGAAAAGCCTAATTTTGCACATTTTACATATTTGTACTCGATATTTTCCATTTGAATACAACGCCAAACTCGTTACCCACTAACATTTAAATACAAAAAATGGTGCACTCTGAAATAAAACTAGGCTTTAGTTAAGGGAAAAGGGTAAACTTGAAATGTAAGTTCCGTACTTTTTGTGTTGGGTGTCCAAAATATGAGTCCTCAAACACTACATAGCTCCAGAAGATTTTTTTTACATTTATTTTCACATGCATGAAAAAATAAACAGGTAAAAATAAAAATCTGGAAACAGATCATTTCTTTTTTGGATCACGTTTGCATCACTTATTATACTTGCAATAGAAAAAGGAGAAACTAGTTTTGGCTGATTACAAACTACAATTCACATGATGGTGTGCTACACTAATAATCTAAAAAACAAACAAACAAACAAACAAACAAAAAAACTGAGTCTTTTTTTACTTGCCAGTGTGGAAGTATTCATACAGTAAATCCAATTTTATTAAAAGAAACAAGTATGCAGGAAAGTAGACAAGCCAGTGGAAGCAAATAGAAGATAAAAAATTAAATAGGATATTCTTTGCATTTTCAATATGAAATGATCTAGTGGTACGTACATTTATTGTAATCAACTACTTCAGTGAGATCATGGTAAATTACAGCTTCTATAAAGCAATTACTAAAAAGAAGCCTTAAACTCATCTTTCTTTGATAACATTAAAATAATTTATGATAATCTTCATGCCCCCCATCCCCTCCAATTTTTAATGATTTTGGTACTACTTGTTGAAGTTTGTGAGTGCTTGTGCCCTCGCTGTATATCGTTTGTCAGATGACTCCGGCCTTTAGCCCATACAGTTCTTAAAATGTCCCAGTGTGTACAGGTTTCAGATGAAGCTGAAATGGGTCTTTGCTCCTGCCATGTGAAGTTAACCAAACATCTATTTCAATGGATTCAGTTTGTGACCGGGCTTCACCTCAGCAGCAGCTCCCACTTGGGGTGTTTTGCCCGCGGCTTCACCTCACCGCTCGCTGCAGCACTGAAGGTCCCTGTGGCATCTGGTGCAGGCGGTGCAAAAGCCCCGCTCAACACTGAGCGAATTAGCGATGCCACAAGATTCAGAAGAACAGTGACAAGCATTAAATTGATATTAACTTTGTATTAAACATGGGCCCCTCCTTCTTCCCCAAATGGACGGGAGCCATATCAGGACACAAAGCGCTCTGTATGAACTCTAGCTGCACCTGTTCCCTCTCACTTGGTCATGGGAGTTCAACTTCTTAGTTTCACCCCAGGCTCCCTTTTTTGTTTGCTTCGCCACACACTGAATTCTTTTAGTTTGGCCTTTTGTTAGAATTTTTTTGATCTCATCTTCACAACCCCAAAGTTACATCTTATCAAATCACAATCCTTAAGAACATCAATTTCACAGCAACCATCCAAACTTTAAATTGCAAGTTCTGCTCTCAGCCGCATAAAGTTTCCAAGCAGAATGGCTCTTTTCGGGCCAGACGGGGGACACTTGCCTCCCCTTTTTGCTGTTCATTTATTAGCAGTTGTTGGTATGGATGTCGAGTGGTGTCCTAATCCTTTTAAAACGCATGTTGGTACAGTTTGCATATCATTTTCTGATCTTGGAGAAAGGCCAGAACCCTCTCTATTCACAGGGATTCCCTGTCCTCTTTCAGTGGAGCCACTGCCAACAGCATTAGCATAATCTGACAACCAATACCATTGTCCGTGACCTTGTATGCAAAGTTAATTGCTCATTAATACCAGACAAAACAGAGGGGTGCAGAGGAAACATAGTAGTGCTTGAAATCCCTGTTTTAGAAGGGATAGTCAGGCAGGTGGAACATCCTTGACTGGGTTATTAAACTCTACCTGAAGT